GTGCTGTGGAGACTGCCTTTATGGAAAAGCAGGATATAAATCTAACAAATTAAATAAATAACTTAAGCCCCATTTATTTCAATGACTTACTCTTACACGAGTATATCTACAAACTGCTTCACTAAAATTTCTGTACAGTGGTAATGATCAAAGTGATGACACAAAACCACTTTATGGGAGAGTTTCTTGGTTGCCCATGTGCCACAAGTGTCATCTTCTGGCCAAAGGGCAAGCTTTACCTTTACTAAACAAACTCCTTGGCAGATTCTTGAGAATGGCCAGCATCCTGATGATGACACACCGATGTAGATTTTCCAGTACTGGTGCTCTACTCAGTACGTTTCCAGGTTTAACTGCCATCGTGTCCTCTTCTACCTCTATTGGAAGCTTCAACTGATCTAACAGTCAGAAGATTCAGTGTATAACCATCTTACGCTTTCTTTAGATGACATTCAGATACATGCATTCTGTGGAAGATGTGCCAACAATAAGGACAAACCGCCATGGACAGTTCTTGTTCCACCAAAAGCTCTCAGAATAGTAGAACTGGTTGGTTGGTTTGTTTTTTGTTTAATTTCCTGTGCTACCAAATTCCTTGTACAGATCTGAACAGCAGAGGCCTTAACTGCCAACTGAATTATTCAGCACATTACAACAACACCGGAGAGATTTTCCTGCCAGCCCACACAGGAAAGAGGACATGACAACGTTTGAAGGATGAACATTCAGTGAACTGTTAAAAGGAGAAGACAGAAGTAGGCTGAGAACTTATCATCTTGCTTTTAGTCTGCAGACTCCTTCCATCTGCCATCTTTCACTAGCAATGCATCCTGACATAACTGATGGATACCTCACGCCCACTTTGCAGTCATTATCTCTGTAAAAATTCCTCCATTTTCCCTCCACATACACCTCAGGTCTCATAGAATATTCTCCACAGTTTCAGTACTAAAAGGGCTTAAAGTATAGCCCTTATATACCACATCTGGAGATATGGGGGTCCTTCTCTATGGCGCCACCTAAACCAAGCATTCTTTTCCATCTGCAAGAGAGGGATAGCATTGTGTGAATGCTTGAGGGTCATAACTGTCTCTTCAGCTTGCAGAAGACCAGAGGAGGTTATGATTTTTTTCATCAGAAAAGACCAACCTTCACTTTTCACATTTTTGGAAGATTTTATAGGAAATTTCAGGGAAGAAAGCCATTTCCACTCCTATCCTGAAAACCCTTCAAAAATGATTAAATGTGTACACGAACGCACATGTAAAGGCCCAAAATTGTGCTGCCAATTTCTTGCTGCTAAAATGGCTGATTTTTAATAACACAATTTCAGGCAACTTTTCAGGTTACTGGAGATGGGGGTAAGGGTGGCAATTCATGTACTTTGGCTCCCAGAGTCCTCCAGTATTCATGCCCACATTCAATTTAAAAACAACAACAAAACAAAAAAAAACAAAAATTACAAAATTTGGCCAATTTGCTACAAAATTTCAGCCATCTGATATCAGGATGCAGTGATGTCATAAGCATGGGATGCCTTCCTTGTTCAGTCATAATACCAAAGTAAAAATGAACACACTGTGCACATTTTCTTGCATTTTCTGGGCTTCTACTGCAAGTAGCCAGGATATAATTCACCATTTTTCCACCTACACACCTTCTGACGATCGTCTGCATTTCAAGCACAGCACAGCACTTACCAGATTCTTAATGGTCTTATTTTGCCTTCTGATGATGTGGCATTTCTGTTTAATCCTCCATTCAGCTTTATTTTTGCCTTCTGCAGTTTGACTTTTATTCAATGTTTCACCATGCAGATTCCCACTGCCTATTATCCTTTGAAAGAGCAAAACAAAGAAAAAATCCACCTCCTTTTTTCCCTCAGAGCTAAGAGAGCCTAATCCTAAACACATACAATTCAAATTAGGCTGGGCCTCCGAAGCATTAGATTTCTACAGCTCGACTTCGCTGACCTCCTTGCTATGAGCACAGTTAGCTGGTCCCAGTGGGAGCTGACAGCCATGAACTACTTTTCAGGCCAGACACTTCTGCCTCTCAACCAAATTCCTGAAACAGACGAGCAGCTTAGGAGAGAAAGGCTGCAGGCATCATGCTTGTGGGACTGAGCCTGCCTCGCTCAAAACATTCGCACCCTTGAGAGAAGGTGACCTATAGCCTATCTTCTATCCTAGCCAAAGAATACACAAAGCAGATGTGCAGAATCTGGGCAGGACGGACAGATTAGGCTACAGAATCTTTTAGCCAATTCTTTCCTTGCAAATAAAGTGCAAATCCACCACTGTCCTATTGGCTCTGTTTATGAAGCTGCAGAGGACAGCCAGGTTCAACCCCAAGAAAGGGAGAAATGAAACCGAACCAGGCAAAGCACATTATTTTATGCTTTGTTTTCTGCTAAGTAGGAGAGTTATCTATTTGATGATAAAGATAACACTTTTCACCAATTCTTCAAGTGAACCTAATCAGAAAGGGAAAACTTTGACCCACCAGATGTTAATGGATTACAACTCCTGTCCCTCCATACTGCCTGAGATTGATGGGAGCTCAAATCCAACATATGCTGAGTCCCAAAATAACATTATCCACCTTTATTGACACCTGCCCCAACACTTTGCATCCATTCTTTTGCTCTGCTTATTGAGAAAGGATTTGACTATACTGAGCAAGGCAGAGACCAACATGACAGCCCCCTTTAGAACAAAACCAGCTGAGCTCTTCTTCCAATTTCTGGCTATGAAAAGATTATGCATACATAGCATAGACATTGGCACCCAACCTGCCAGTGCCATAAAAGGGATGAGGAAAGTAGGATGCCAGTAGGATGTGGTAGGTTATAAAATTAAAAAAAAAACTAATTAACAAAATGTATTATTGCACGCATCTTCTGTAAATGAGAATGGTAGCCTAATATTATAGCAAAATAGTGGGCTGAGTGAGGAAAGTGAGATATGAGCAAAATTGCTTATTCTTAAAAAAGGGGAAGTCACAGTTTTGTCTACATCTTAATTTAGGAATTTCCCAACCACATACACTAACACTAAAATAAAAATAATTGTAAAAGTTATCAGTTCAAATGCCTGGCACGACATTGTCCTTTGAGTGAATTCTGCCCTCTTGTGGTGCGAATCACAAAATATATTTATTTCTAAAAATAAAGGAGTTGCTATTGATTTCCATCTTCTTAGAGGGAGATAACTATGTAAATGGTACCTTGTTTTCAAAGGCAAGAAATCCCAGTGGGAAAGTAAGGCTCAAGTCATTGGGGAATATGGAGTGCATTGCTTAGCGACCAACACTTAACAAATGAAAAAAAACACAGACCTGTTTTATGCACATATTGAAATCCTAATTATATAGCAAAAACGCATATATTCATTAAGGACTGCATACTTTTGATACCATTTGTATCAAAATTCAATTTTATCTTGATACAATTCATTTTTAGAGAAGCTGCTCTTTTGGTGAACAGTGATTAAGAGCAACCACATTACCTGAAAGGAGTTTCTTCTGATAATATGCTCAGGACTTTCTCAGTTACTCAAGCACTTCTTGGTGGGGTGAGGGGGTGGGGAGAGGAAGGAAAGGAGAGAAAGGTAAAAGCTGCTGAGATTAAGACAGAAATATTCAAAAGTAGTTCAATATTCAAAAGTAATTCCAAGCACAGACTTTTTCTTCAGTCTTCCAGAATATCTGACCCCTAAGATTGAGTCCAAGATGTAGAGCTTCCCCATCAATGTAATGTGTGTTTGCTTTTTTAAAAAAGCAATCCTTGTGTGTGTTTGAAAATACAGACAAACCTGAGACAGACCTGCTCCCTATAAACATTGCATATCTGACTAATCCACGAACCTACAATTAGATTAATGCACTCAAAGTTGTATTATTTGTTTGTTTTGGTGTATATATACATATATGTATATGAGTATGTATACACACACACACACACACACCCCATTAATCGTTGAGTATCAAGAAAAGAAGTGTACATCGTTGTTTTTGTTAACAATCAGCTCCTCCCACAATAGAGGTTTTCAGCATGTCTTTTAAGCTAGGATCTACATCCCTGTTTCTCATTTCATCTTCCAAAAGAAAAGAAACCAGGAGCTAAAGTAAACCATCCATTTAAAAAAAATGCAAGTACAAATGAATTATATCCCAGTCAACCAACTGTACACAACAAAATGGAAGATTGCCGATTCTGATTCTTTATATTTGTCTCTCCACATTCCTGACTACCACCAAAATACGTCAATAAAAAGCTAAAATAAGCAAACCATGAATAATCTTTAGTCTTTAATTCTGAAAGCTATCTTGTTTAAAAAATGACTGCCCTCCCCTTCCCTTCCAAAGCAAGGCCCTTGGTATGTTGAATTTTAGTTGTTTTTTAAAATCCCTTTCTTTTAAATTTCATATAAATATCCAAGTTGCTCTAGCTGTGTATTCTTGAAGTAGGAATCTGAATATTTAATATTTATATTTATGTATCCATTCAGTGGCTGAATTCCTGCTCAGGCAGTTGGCTTATCCATTACTTATGGAATTAACATCGACTGGCAGGTTTTCATATCTTGGGAAACCAAAACTGAACAAAGCTCATTCTGTGCAAGTCTAGTCAGGATGTTATTTTGATTAAAATATACTTGCAGTTTTAACAAGCATAATTTCTTAAGCACAGCCCAGTCTGCAACAGCCACTTGCTGCATGATCCAGAGAAAAGACACATTTGGTTTACAGAGCTACAGAGATGGCCCATGCCTGGCTGCTCCAAAAAAACTTGTTGCTTCAAATCAAAAACCCTGGACAGCACCATTCTACATCCAGGTGAAGAAGGACTACGAACAGCAAAAGTAGCTAGGGTATTGTGAGAATGGAAGATAGATTTCTGGGTGTTCAGCTGACCCACACTGCAATAAGAAAGGAAAAGAGAAGAGTATTATTTATGAGATCAGAATTAGTTAACTGGCTTAATTCTTCTATTTCAGCTTCCTGTTCTACTTGGATGTCACAAGCTCAGACAGAATTTAAAAGAGTGGCTGAAGCAAATGTGACTTTGCCCTGTCATCATCGGCTGCACCTCTTGGAGCCAGCAAGCCTGGATATAGAGTGGCTGCTAAAGAATTCTGAAGCAGAACCCAAAGTGGTACGTCTAACCCCTACAATACATCATCTCTAGATCATCAGTGTGTGGCTCATTTTCTAGGATTGTCAATATTTATAGACCAACCTTAGGTGTGAGAAAGTATGTGGCTTTACAAGACTATGAATGAGGCCTTCTTGCAGAGGCACACTGCAAATAGCATCTTTATACATGCTGACGTATCAGGAGTAATTAATAGAGAGCTGAGCAGAAGGCAGAAAGGTACTCTGGAGCGTAAGCATTGTGCCTGCCTCTCTGTAACTCCTTAAAGCAAGTAAATCTTGTTATGCCCCCACACACTCCAAATCTCCCTTTTGCCTTAGCTGCACAGCCCTAGATAATTAGATTTTAGCTCAAAAGGAAAGAATCAGCTTATAAAAATGTGAATCACACACTAGTTTTCCTACAATGCACACAGGTTTCACAGCAGTTATTTGAGCACTGAAAACATATTTATTTTTCCAACCAGACTCAAGAATGACTGATGCAGAGTCAAAATTACAAGTCATGACAAGTCATCAAATATACAAATTAGTTGGTAGAAAACATCAGAAAAGCAGGAATGCCAGTTCCCAACAGCTATTTTGAGGGTCACCTCTTTTCCAATCCTCTCAGTTAAGTGGACTGGATATCATTTTTTCATACAGAATGAAGATAGAAGTTACATTGATTGCTGCAGCTTTCTGAGTGACTTGGAATAGATCAGCCAAGTATTACTCATTCTCAATTGTCTTGCAACAGCAGCAGTCAACTTAACTTCTCCCAAACCCTCAGCTATACTGATAAAATGAAGTGTGAGATAATCCTTCAACCAAAAAAAAATCAGGTTATGATCGGTTCCAGACTACAGCTTGAAAGCTTGAAGTGCTATTCACTAAACAAACAGACATATATGATCTCTTAAGTGAAACTGTCCAAGTGATTGAATGCTACAAGCAGGGACCAAGAGAGAACATAGTTCCCAACTCCCCATAAGGCTTGGAATAAGCTTCTTTCTCTTTAAATAGTGAAATAAACTGGCAGATTTTTCTAAATGAATCCATCTGCTGGTTCCAGTTATAAACAGTCATTTGGAGATGATTAGTTTGACTTTTAGAGATTGAGGAGAACTCCATATTTCACCTCCTTAAACTCAATGGAAATATACATGTTTTCCTTGTCTAATCTGGAAATATGTGGGAAATCTTGATTTATAGTCAAACCTATTTAGAATGTGGCCAACAAAACCGTTAGGGCACATAGTAATTATGAAATTGAATCGGTGCACAATGTTATCAGCCACTTGGAAACGTACCACTGGAGGGCCTCGTTATTGGTTGTGTCAAGTGAGTAACCATACCTGGTATGATTACAATCTTGTGAACAGATAAATGCTGGCAGGAATTTAATACCATCAGGAACCTTTTGCTAATCGAGCAATGGCCACATAAGCTAAATTGATGAGCAACTTTCTATCCCAGGTGATCACTTATGCAGGAGGCAACATCTATCATGATATGATCGAAGAACAAAAGGGTCGTGTTTCATTTGCCTCCAATTTCCTAACTGGAGATGCCTCTTTGGAGATTTCTCTTCTGCAGCCAAGCGATTCTGGGCAATATACATGCAAAGTTAAAAATGCTGGACAGTATGAATGGACACACATCACACTGAAAGTTCTAGGTAAGACTGTCACAATGTTTTAAAAAAATGTATTTAGACTTTCTGTTGAATATTCAATTTTCTGACTTACAGGGATGAGGAGGATCTGACTGATTTTTTTCCCTCCTTTCCAGAGAAACCTTCCAAACCCAAATGCTGGAAGGAAGGGGAACCATCTGAAGGAAAAGAAATCACTTTACAATGTAACTCTGTCTCTGGCACAGCCCCTATAATGTACACGTGGCAGCGTGTTGATGCAAAGGGGAAACTGGAGCCCCTGCCACCCTTGACACGTCTCAGTAAGTTTTGCCTGTTCAAATCCATCCCGCCACCCTGTTTCTGACCAAAATGAAAAGCATCACTATCTGCTAACATTTCAAACCTCAACTCCAAGACGCAGCCAACATGATCAGCCGAATGGTAGACTCACTTCTCACATTCCAAGATGTGTAGTTTGGTTTTAAGATCTGAATGGCTGCGTGGCCAGAGATGCTCAAGAGCATGTCATTTAAATGGAGAACACGTATGTTTAAGAAGCGCTAAAAGGGCATCTCAGTGAACTGGACCCAGTTACCACACATACAGTAATCTCTTCCAACTAAAAGGGTTCACATAACACAAAGGATTCAAGTAAATTACTAGGGTGATAGCAAACATTAACACACATTTCCTGACTCTTAAAGATCACTCAATGACCTTTAACCTTTTGACTGCCCTTCTCTAGAAGTTATTGTTATGATGCCTTTCATTGCACAGAATATCAAAGCGGTTTACAACTTCAATAAAAAACAGATTTTTTTTAAAAAAGAAAACATTTTAAAAACTGTTAAGGGAGTTAATGGGTGAGGAAAAGACCAACCTAAAAGGTGAGTTTTAAAAATGCCTAAAACCCATCAGTGTTGGGGCTGGTTATTATTAAACTTACTCCTCCATAATTACAGTATTCTATTTCCTATTTAAAGCCATCGCTGTGTTTTACGCCAGCACATTAATTCTGTAATTTAATTATATCATTACGCTCTCGAGTTCATTTAATCTTGTTCCTTAATTTTTTTTTAGATCTGTCTAATCCTGCTCAAGTTATTATGAAGAATCTCACATGGATGTTCACAGGATCATACCAGTGTACTGCCTCCAATGAAGCAGGAGAGGACAGCTGCGCTATACAGGTGACAGTGCAACGTAAGTATGAGAGAACTCTAGAAAGATTTGAATTGAGCTTGGAAAACTACAGATAGTCCTCACTTAACGACCGTTCATTTAACAATGGTTTGAAGTTACAATGGCCTTGGAAAGGGTGCTTTATACCCCATAAAGCACTTCCAGCCATCATAAAATGTTGCGCCCCCCCCCCACGGTCACATGGCCACATTTCAGGCACTTGGCAACTGGCTCGCATTTACAACTGGTTGCCAAGTGCCCCGTGATCATGTGTTCACCACCTGCAATCCTCTCTGCTGCTAACCCAGAAAGTCAGTGGGGAAGTTGGCAGGGAAGACTGCAAGCAGAGGGGATGGAGGGGAGCTGAAATCCTTCTGCGGCCTGCAGGAACAGAGCTCAAATCCTTCAACAGGCAGCCCTTTTGTTCCATTCGCTTAATGACCCAGGAGATCACTTAATGACTGCAACCAGGAGTGCCCGGATTGTGATAGTTGAGTGAAGCAGTCACTTGGGTGTCTTGCTTAACAACTACTTTGCTCAACGATCGAGATTCCATTCCCATTGTGGTCATTAAGCAAGGACCACCTGTATTGGCAATCAGTGCAGCAATCAGAGTGTATCCCTTATGCTGCAATAGTAGCTTCCCCAGCTAGCAGTCTGGCTGCTGCAGCAAACTGTAGAAAGCCATGGAAATGGCCTTGAAGCAAATATTCAGGAACTTTATGCAAATCAAAAGGACAGAAGCATTCCTTAAGCCCTGGGAAAGTATTCAGAAGAGACTCCCTGGGTTATAAGAGGGAGGGAAAGAAAAGCACAGACAGACTTGAAAGGTTCTGTTACTATAGCCTACCACAATATAGTAGTTCTAGTCTCCTGGGGAATTGTTTCCTGCTCTGGTCTACCCTGTAGGGCTGACACACCCCTCAGTAGAGCAGGATTCAATAATCCAAATGTGTGGTGATACAGCATGAGTCATTGTCACCAGGGCTCCCTGGTCTAGGAAGGGCCACAACTGGTGCACCAGTCTAGGCCAGGGAAAGGCACACCCAGCCACCGCCTCTAGCTGCTATTACATCAGAGCCATGAGTTGAATAGAATTCCCAAATGAGGGACATGCTCTTTCAAAGAGAGAGTGACCTCACTGAAAGGAATCACCACAATCAAATTGCAGCAAAACATTTCTGGGCAATCAATAATTCTGCCTTGCTAGAATTCAATTTGAGCTTCTTTCAGCCCATCTAGGACCTCTGCAGCATCTCTGGCTATGTTTGAAGTAGGGATGTATAACTGAGTATCATCAGAATATCAATCAAACTTCACCCCACGGTACAGATGACCTCTCCCTACAATTTCACGGAGATATTAAATAGCACAGGGATGGTAGATGGTTCTGTGGCAGTTAGAGCAGTTCTGTGGCATGACTATCAACTGGAACTGCTCATTTAGAAAAAAGCAACACAATCTTAAAAGATGCCCCTACCCCAAATCCCAATATGTAGTCCAGAAGGATACCATACTTGATAGGTACCTAAAAGGACTCAGAAGGGTGTGCTTCCTTCATCCAGGTCAACCTTTACTTGTATTCAATACCAGCATTTAATTTTAAAAAATGAAAAATCTAATGTAGAAAATATGCCAATATCAAAAACATTTATTTTAAATCTAAACCTGGGAGTTATTGTGTGAAATCTGCCATGCAAAATAAAACTGATGTAACACTAACCACATTTATGGCAATTAATGGTCTGTAATGCAACAGGGTGGATCACAGCACTATTGAATATCTGAAGTGATAAACTACGATCCTTTGTATAATCTGACATGCATTGGCTGGAAAAAAAACAACAACCAACCCACTGCTCCAGGGTAGAGTTAATTCAGTTTAACCGGTGTTGCAATGTTGTTCACAGTTTAGCAATGGAAAGTTAAGTCTCCCTTCAGTCAAGCTCATTTCCTGATGACTACACAAACATGTCCATGTTGTTTTCTTGCAAACTATACAGAAGTGGTTTGTTTTTAAAGTCTTCTAGAGTAATTTTGCAATTTCCCAAAGTAGTGTACAACCCTGGGACTTCCTGGCGATCTCTGATTCAAGTACAAATGAGGTCCAATTTGTTTACCTTTTTCAAGATCAGCCAAAGTTAGCCAGGGCTGCCACCTCCTGTGACATAAAACAATGAGAACACAGTACCAATTTTGAGACAAAAGAAAGGAGACTCATTGAAAATGTCTATGCAACAGATGCCAGAACTACAAGGGCAGTATTTGGCTGTACAACCAATAAAACCTAGCTTTTGTTTCTAAATTAACAGATCCCCCAAATGTTGGCATCATTGCTGGAGCAGCCTGTGGAGTGATGGGGGTGTCCTTGTTAGTTGTCCTGGCCGTGTGGCTAACTATCAAAAGGAAAGAAAAAAATAAATATGAAGAAGAGACTCCAAATGAAATCAGGTAATTGCCTCTGTAAAAATCACTATTTAAGCATTCAAAAACTTGCAAAAACAAAGTCTCTTAACTTTGTTACAGAACAGCCTCAGACCTGGAGGGGAGAATATAAGTCAGTGATAAAGTGAATGTTTTATGTGCAATTCAAAATCAATCACCAGCATTCAGTTTTAAAGGATATCATATAGTAGGGCTCTGAAACACCTCTTCCTGAGACCATATGAAGCAAGTTTGAGTTGAGAGAAATATTAGTGTGCTGTATGAACTAACAGTCTGTCAAAACCATGAGTTATGTGCTACTTTTAAAGATTTAACACATATATTATTATGCCATTTCTTTTCTTGGTTTACAACTACAATGCCCTCTGGGAAAAAATAAGACTCTTCCCCACCCCACTCCACCCAATACAGCTTTTATTCTTCTATATACAACAAGTTTACATTTCCATTTTCAAAGACAGAATGAGGACTTCCTTTAATATTTTGAACTACTTAGCCATCAGAATACATGGGAGGATGCATAAACCTTTCGTAACTTGTTTTCTATAAGGTGACAATATTCTGTGTTGAATTTCATCATAGCACATCACCTCTTTCAAGATGCTTCTTGAACTTTCTTTGTGGGGCATTTACAGGACGTTTCCAAAACTATGACTCAACTGACAACGCCCTTATGACTTATAACAACCCCGCCGTTTAATTCTACTTGAGATTAAATATCCTTCCATATTCCTTTCCTTGTTATAATCTAATCATGTTCACCTCTGCACCTTTTGAGCAATCATTTAAAATCCTCAGGTATCTCCTTGATTTACCGAAATTGATTTTTTCCTAAAATTAAAATCTCAAAGTTTTGTTTTTTTTTTAACATGGAACTTACCTCTTCCCTGTCCTGTTTCCTACTTCCTTTTGTTCATCTTTTGTGCAGCTTCAATGTCTGGATTTTTTTTTTTTTTAATTTCATTGCTAGTTCCAGAAAGCCATATAACAGGATTATAAATGAATTGTTATAGGAAGAAAAGCAGAGGATGCCTTTGCAGAAATTACTTTTGCATGTTTAACACAGGAAAACACAAGGAAGAAAAATGACTACTATAGCTGAGGGAAGGCCAAGAACCAGGGAAAAATAACGACTAGAATTCTGGATTTGAATTAAAAAAAAACACCTGAGATTCAAACTGTATCCTGCTGTAGACGGATCTTGGACAACTTTTAAAGGAGATGAGACAAATCTGTGGAAGATAAAAGTATCTACATGCCTTTTGGTATCAGAATAGTCAGATTCAACACTTGTTGCTGGCACCAGTTTTAATTGTACTTGCAGCTTTTTATAGAAATATAATTCTAAACTATACTTGGACCTTTAGTCTGATCCAACAACCCATTATCTAGGAAGGATGAATTCTCATGTAAAAGTGAGATGATGCTCTGCCTAGGTATGAATCTCAGCTGAGCTAGAAACAGGGCAATTATGTATGCCACATACCATAATACATCTAAAATTCATTCCCAGAATTCAGACAGAGGGTCTGGAGGGAGAATCCATTTCTAAAGACAGGGCTCCAAGTCTGAGAGTCAAAGGTTCTCTTTGCACATTGACCCATGATTCACTAAATTATGGTTTAGTAAATTAACCCAACTGCCAGGTTCACACAAGGCAATGAGCCATAAAGTAACTTCCATGTCTAGGTTCCTGCAACATATTAATCAAATCTGATTTTAGCTTAGTATGTCATGCAAACCAAGCTAAGCCCAGTTATCATTAATTAGGGGGAAACCAGGACTATAGTACAGAAAAGGAAATGATAGCAAGACATTCCTGGAAACAATCAGGAAACTGAAATAAATGACTCTTAAGACTCTCAGAGCCCTGCCTAAAGGCCAGGAGCATTCCTATCCATGTATAGAATTTTATTTCTGAGTATAATTTATTCACAACAGTTCAATTTTTCATCTCATCTACCTTTACCAGCCTATTAACCATTCTTTACCAAAAATACTATGGTTCCACTGGTGATTCAGCTGAGGGAGAGCTTTTTGTATCATGAGGGAGTAGCTAGAAAGGGATCTCCCTAAACTGTCTAGGACAGGGTTTCCCAAACTGTGAGGTATACTTCCCTTGGGGAGGTACAGACGAAGTCCAGGGTAGGCCTGAAGAACCTTTTAGTTGCGTTGTTACAATAAATCCACCTTTCCAAAGTTTCATTGTATTATTTTCATTATCCATTTGTGTTCATTTTGGTGTTTGGATTTTTAGGGGAAGTATGTACATTAAGATTACACTAAAGGGAGATGTGATGGCAAAACATTTAGGAGCCCCTGGTCTACAAGCTTCCTACTTCAGGATTTTCAGATGTAACCTGCTGTCCAAAATCAGGAAGATCTTACTCCAGAGAGTGCCTTTAGGTGGGGATGAGCACAAAAAATGACATTATATAGGCAGTACAATACACACAAATTAATTCAACCCATATCTAACAATATCATATGCACCCAAGATCTGTAACCCAGTTTCTAGCAACAAGAAGTAGTTCAGACTCTATAGTTGATGTCACAGAATTAATAACAGGTCACTCACCAGAGAATGCCTCATTTTCACAGTCGGTGTCTCTACAGTACTGTTTCTTGTTCCTTGGTTAAGAGTGAAAAAAAGGTTCAAATGTTTTGTCACCTTAAAGCTTTCAAATACTACCACTACCACTACTACTGGTTACTTTTACCATACATCAAATAGTATTGATCATCATCATCATCATGTAAACAACTGGCTGACTCTGCAACCAACAATAATACTTTAAGAATATTGCAGAGAAAATTACTTTAAAGACCACTACGTTTTTTAACCATGATGGGTGAAAAGCATTTTGTCAACAGGAACAGCTGACAAAATACTTTTCACCAATCTCGGTTTAAAAAAGCCATCCACTACTAAATACGGCTAGACAGCTGGCAAATAACCCAGAACATTTGTTAAATCCCATACACATTAGGGAATCTATGTTGTATGAATGTTACTGCTCCTTGTTACTTGGACTTCTAAAAATTTTACTTTTTTTAATCCCAGAGAAGATGCAGAGGCACCCAAAGCCCGATTAGTCAAGCCTGGCTCTTCCTCTTTGGGCTCCAGAAGTTCACACTCTGGTTCTTCCTCAACTAGATCAACAGAAAACAGCGGCTCTCGCAGCCAGCAAACACTGTCAACAGAAGCTACCCCTCACCTAACACCAACGCAGCACAGCCACCTTGAGATGAATGGCAGGAAAATTGAGCCAAAGAGAAGTAACTACACCAGTTTGATGAAAACAGAAGCTACCGCTACAATGATGCCTGTTCAAAGTCGAGCTTTGCAAACCGTTTGATTGCTGTTCCATCTATTCTTGCTCCAACTATATCCATAATTTACATATACCACCAGCATTACGCAGTTAGATTATTTTATTTTCCAATGCAACATTTGTTTTCTATATTCATACACATACACACAGACAACAAAAACCCTCAATATTTCTGATCTTTCTGTTTTGAGGTATGGGCAGACTTGGAAAACAAAACTCATAGTGACTTTGTAAAAACAATTACTTCTATTTTTTTAGGATTTTTTTTTTAAATTTTGCAATTAATCCTTGTAAGGAGAAAAGGGAATGCTGATGCAATGGGAATACCATTTTGCAGTTTTGAACCGATTTGGTTTTTTAAAGAATACAGTGAAATACAGATATTCTAACAGAAGTCTGAAGGGAAAATGAAATGCATACATATACAATTGTCTTCTCAGTTGTGACCTCAGTTTTTCACTGCTGATGTTAAGCCTGATCAGCTTTGAAAGAAAATTGACAGCACTTTGCATGTATCTTTTTCTTGAACTACCAACATTTGGACACATCACCAAAAAAAACAAAAAGTGGAAAGCAGTAACTTCGGAAAAAAGCGAGAAGCAGTACTAGGCTATAATTGGCCTTCTTTACTGGAGGGACCTTCTGTGAACATGGAAGTGCATTAATTTAAGAAGGTATGTATGACTGAATACGACTAAAGAATATAGGCATTAGCCCGCTGTGACCAAGCTAATGTATTTGTATGTATGTATATATTCATAAATAAGAAGCAATTCCACTGAAGGGAATTATGTCCTAATGGATCATTAGAATGTGAGATCAGAATCAAATCCTGAATTCCATTTACAAGTTTTTAAAAATGGTGTTTCAAAGAGTTTTAAAATACTGTTCTCTATGCTGGACATAGTGACATCCATTTTTAGGATGAGTAGCACCAAAGCTTTTTGGGGGGGGGGAGCACTTTTAAAAAGTCAGAGCACAATTGATGTCATATTAGTAAACATTTTGAGGTAATAATCTAGAGAATGTGACAATTTTGATGGATATAGCATATTCAAACTTGTAAGACTAAATGCAAAATTTAAAGTATAAAAAATGGAAATGAGATGAAAATGTAGACTTTAGCATCGGTGTTAAGAATGCATTCATCTCTCCAAAGCAGGAAGTCTCATCCATGGACACAACTAGTATTACTTGGCTTTAACAATAAGAAAATGCAAGTTGTTTGACTTCAAGTGCCAACTAGATTGCAGTTCTGATGAGTTTTAAACTGATATTATTCCATGGGAATTATTTCCACCACATTCTTAAACACAGTCAGTAAGAAGGAAATAACAGAACCACTAGACTCATACATTATAAGAGTAATTTATAAATGGTTACTTAGGATTCAAAAGTAGGATGTATACTGATAACGCAGGGCAGTCAGTATTACAGATCATATAAGGCTGTGACAGAAAGCTATTTTCACAAGAAATAAGAACCAGGTTTCCATCCATACAACAGACACACTTAATTTGGAAGTCTCCATAACAAAATTTCTGGAGTATCTTCAAGCACATTCAACTATGATTAAAGTCAGCATTGCATGAATTCCTCAGCGGAGTCTTATATTTGCTTGCTCAGAAGTAAGTACCAGACATGACAGGCTTCCTGTCTATGTTTGTTTAGAATGTTAGGATTATTTTGTCCCTTTCAGCCAAGCAAGCTATTTTATCCCTTCGTGGACGTTAACCCAATATAAAAAAAGCAATTCAGCTTACAGTTTATTATGAAGCTCCATAATGCAGAACTCAACATGAAGAAAGTAAAATACAAGGCAGATGGACTGTTTCGTCACTTTACTTATACTGAAACTCAGTATAATGCAAATCATCAAATCATGAGTTATGCCAAGCTGTTTCCATCATGTTCTGAATTAAAAAACAATTTAGATCATTTTTTTAATCAACGCTTAGTGAACCAGGTATAGAAATCAATTAGGAGGATTTCCTACAAAGTAGAGCAGACCTGTCTTAACTCTTGGCTATAGGCATTGTTATTTCTCAGAAAGTGGCTGGCACCATGACAAAATCCCCATTGTAAAGAATGAGGAATCACAAAATTTACTATGCAGTGGAGACAACAGGTTCCTTGAAAGAGAAACTGGTGATAAATATATACAGTCTGAATTAGTTTTCTGCCCCAGTAAAGCATCCATTGCACAGAAACTGACAAACTAGTTTCCCTAAATCACATGCAAATATGTACCAAATTCTAAAATGAACTACTCCCAATACCATTCCAAAATCATGTACTCCAAAGCACAAAAACTGCATATGCCCCGCAGTAGCAACAAAACCCAAACATCCCATTCTACAAAACACACACGCATGTATATAAACTTTTCTAAAAAGTCCTGAAGGTCCTGCCTTCTTTTTCAATCAGCCAAAAACATGCAGGCACCCCATTCACCAAATAAATGCATCCCTCTATCCCACCAGTTTTCTTCATGCTTTTTTCAACTCCTTGGTTGGCTCCTTTCTTCTTCCCCTAAAACCACCTACTCTATCCTCATTATAGCTATCCTTTAAATTACACTTACGCAGACAGCTTATCCTTTGTTATCACCCACATTCCTGGTTTCCATTCTTACTCGTGTTTCATTGACGTTTATAACCCACTCTCTTCCTCTTAGATCAGTCTTGAAAACTTAGCCAGCAGCAGCTGCTGTTTCCTTTTTTCTTGACAAACCTATGGCTATCTATCTGTCCAATCTTTTCTTTCCTTTCTGAAGTTGTATTTTGGCCACAAGGATACAGCAACATGGTGAAAAAGAAAGGGACAGTAGCTGGAATGCTGCTGGGCCTTCCAAATGCTCAAGTGTTCATTTTGCTGCTGCTGTTGTTTTAAAAGTCTTTAAAATGTTTTATACTTCAAAAAGGGGAATCCATGGGAGACCTGAAGGAGCGAGCTGTCTTAGTTGTACAACTAGACACTATGTTGCCAATCCCATTAAGAGATTATAGTCAAGTTTATTTATTATAGGTATACACAGCATGTTTTGAACCTTCAATTCATATTATATTCATCAGCCAAACTCTGCAGTTCTTTGACTGTGAAGCAGATGATCTGGATTCTACTACTGAAGAGAATAAATGAGATTATAGATTAAATCTAATGTAAGTGAATTTCTCAGATATGAGGGAAGAAATAATGGTGCAATACAGTATTTCAAATCACAAGAATTTCACTGAAGTATTAAAGGGAATATTTAAGCACAAAGGCTTCAAACTCAGCATGACTCTAAATAGTATTCCACAAGGGAAACACCATACTATAAACAGCCAAATATTATTTTGTAAAATATTGTTTAAACATTGTTATCCTGTATGCAATTTACTATGTAGCACTGTCGTATAAATCTCTACTTTTGTTTTTATTCTTGAACTGGTAAACTGGGAATACCTTGTCTGCTGTTATCGATGAACTTGTGCTCAGAATGAGCAAAGCGAAAGTAATTATTTATTTTAAACTGCTTTGTTTCCACCGTTTTAAGACTTTGTTGTTTTTAAATAAAGGCTGCCAAACAAATACCGCAGTTCACCTAAACCCAAACGTAGACTCCTCCGGCCAGTTTTTATTTCAGGGTGAGGTTAATGCATTCAACAATATTTAAGCAAACCACGGATAAGCATCTTGGGTAAATCCAGGCAGGGGCTGGCTGACCAACATTTCTGAATGATGAACTACGATCTGCTCTACTTTTTCAGCTGAAAGCCTGTCTTCTCTTCTCTGCCCAAGTTTGTCAGGGAAAAGAGCAGGGTCACCTCCCAATCTCTACAAATCCGAGACTTAAAAAAAAAATCTGTCTCTGCCTTTGCTTCTTGGAATAGTTTTGCCAGTCCCCCCCATTTGGATTAAGAGGAGGGAAATCCTTTCGGGCACAAGAAAGGCCATATGGCGCCTGTCGCCTCAGCAGGATATTTCACTGAAAGAAATGGGCTGCATTGTGACTCTGCCCTGCTGTTAGTGCCCGCAGCCTGCACTAAGCGCCTTTAGGGCAAGAGTCTCCTTGAGGATGTGCAGAGTGCTGCCCTCCCCGCCTCGCAGCGACGGGGACTTGGACGACCCAGCACGCTTAAGGCCGCCCTCCTATCGCAGGAGCTTCCCTCGTCTCCGGCCTCTGCCGCTGGGGATTGTGGGGGCTGTAGTCCAACATCAGACGGCCTGAGGGCGGAGACGGCTGAGACGGGGCCCGGCCTGAAATGGAAAGACGGGAGGGAGAGATGTTTGTTGCTTCTCTCCCGAAGGGTTTCCTTCATCGAGCCGCTCCTCTCATGTCCTCCGCTAACCTCGGCCTTGGCCCTTCGCCAACGCCCTGCGGCAACCCAGCTCGCTCAGCGGCCATTTTGTCATCGGCCTCTCCGCCTCTCCTCTCCAAGGAGACTACTGTCCTGGCCACGCCCACCTCCTTCCCGCGCGCTGATTAACTCGCGAGCCGATTGGCCAACGGCCTCTCGGTCGACCCGCGCGGGAATCGGATTGGCTCCTTTCCTAATGTTTCTCCACACGGAACGTTCTCTTCCCTCCCCCCACCTTCTGTTCTAAGGGGCTTACTGCCCATCCCCGCCCTTCGGCTACTATATAAATCTTGGAACGCCACTCTGGGAAGCGATTGGCTCCATCTCCCCACACAAAGGGAAGCGACCCGAGGCGTCGAATCGCCACTCCCACGTTCCTTTGGTCTCTCCTGTTTATGCAAATAAGGCGCGCCAGGGGGAAGATCATTGGCTCCAGGAGACGTCACCGAGCTCGAGCATGCCTCCCTCCTCTCGCTCTGGGAGGGATGAACGTTCTAGAAAAAAGGAAAGAGGAAGAAAGAAGGAAGGGGGAAAAAGCCGGCCGGCTCCCCTTGACT